GACCTTATACTTTTGTTTTTTCGGCGATTTTTTTCCTTTCCCACTTCTCTTATTTTCTTTATTTTTTGTTTTTATTAGACAGTAATTTATTTATTTATTTATTTGGGGGGGGGCTTTTGAATTAGATCCCCCTCCTCCCGAGCAGCCTTGCTTTAGCGTGTAAAATATCAATCAAGTGTAAAGAATCCTTTAATGTGTATTTAAGTTTGTTTACACGAATCAATAGCAAACTCTTAAGTCACCACGTATAAAAAGCGAGTGCGAAATAGAGAAAGAAAAATAACGGAAATGACTAGTGGTGACGTAAGAAACAGACGCGTGTGTGACGTCACACAACACTATCACAAAACAGGAATATCAACAGCGGACGAGAATTACGTAATAAAACTGGTCAAAACGGCTGCAACTACTAAAAATAAAAACTGTAAAAGCATTAAATCAAAGTTTAACACGATACTCTCTTTGAAAGCATGTATTTCAAATAAATGATTTGTTACTCTCTCGTGGGTGGGCAGAAATAGTAAAATATCGGTGACAAACAAGAGCACTCCTGGTGACCCCTTAACATACAGTGGATCTTCTTTCCTACAAGTGTTCCTTCCCCCCCCCCCTGTTTTGTCCCAATACTCGAGATATTTTTCTACCCAGTCATAACGAGCTTAACAGTTCCAGAATAACAACAGAATATTTAGAAAAATGTCACCGAAATACTTGAACAATAAAAAGAGTAATATTTTCCTAAATAAAATAAGACAATAAAAAAAAGGTCAGATGTAAATAAATTTACGTGTGTTATATGTTCATAGACAAGTAGCTATTCAAAATTGTACGGTAGGTCTAAACAATAATAAAACATTGGACCACGGAATAGTAAAGATTGGGACTTCCAAATGTCGTGGAGGATATCCCCCCCCCCCCTCTAAGAATATTAAAAGAAACTGACAATATAATATCAGTTTTACGCTTTTTAGGTTCACTCCCGGTTACACCAGTTAATCACAGCATATTCTCATGTTACGACATAGCGCGTGACAGGTATCGAGTACGAATTCACGTGATAAGAAAAGAAACGCGGTAGGGAATACCGTAAACTAGACGTGGGCCGTCATATTGTTCACAAGACAAGATTTGGTTTAACGATAGGAACGCTGAAGGGTAATTTCATATCCGATAATTTATTCAATAACCCTAAAATTATCTTTCGGACTTGTTTTCATACCGTTAGCTACCGGTGGGGTCCATACGATTTCTGTGTTTTCATACTACACCAGATGAACTCAAACATCTACTACACGTAAAATACACATAACCAGTAGTTACTAAAATTAACTGCAATCTTGGTGGAACTTATATATATGTGTGTGTGTGTGTGTGTGGTTAGTTGTTGTTAAGCGCAAAGATACACAATGGGCTATCCGTGCTCTGCCCATCACGGGTATCGATTGTTTGTTTG